CTTGACAGCCAACTCCCAAAAAAAGAAATGAGCCCAGACTTGGGGTCCTCTGGGAGAGCGCAGGAACCACCCCCCACCAAAAAAATAAATAAATGTTTTTTTTGCATGCCCCGGTGCCTGGCCGGGTGTGAGAATCTTCCTAGCAATTTGGGCCTCCAGAGATCCATCCACAGATTTCAGACTATCCAACTGTAGTTGCACCAAGCAATCTCTTGTCCAAAAAAATATGGAGAGTTTGGATTTTGAACTCGTCATCATGACCGGTGTTTTTGAAATTTTTCAACCTTAGAAGCTCGCAACATACGGAACGAATGGATGATTATTGCAGCCCAAGCTCAAATATTCTCGTTGTCAAATTTTCACAGGTTAAATATGGCAGCAAGAAAAAGAAAAAAAAGAAAAAAAAAAGAATAGGCAGCAAGAGTTGAACAGTAGCTGGGAGGGTTCGTAGAGGGATGGCAAGCTGACAGTCAATCCTCCAAGTGATTGGAGTAATCAATGCTGTTCAGGGAGGGGTCCTTCAGCTAGACGGAAGGAAGAGTGGGTCTGTGAATTAGTGGATTTTATCAAATTTTATGACCTGCCGGGGGAAAAGGAACCGGACTGATGTTCCCCAGAATGGAAATGGAGCCAGGACCATATGGCGCTGTTTATTGGAGCAGAAAAGAGAAAAAAAAACAAACAAAGAAGCTCGCACATGATAATGCTTGTGCTGAGGCAAGCTGCCCATGCACAAATGACTGCGGCGGGTAGATTATGAATTTAATGTTTATTAATTAAATATTTGCCATGCAAATTGAACAGCTGAGCCATGGTGGTAGGTATATAGATAGTGAAAGGTGAAACTGAGAGAAGAATATATAGCTTAGTTGAAAGAAAAAAAAAGAAAAGAAAAGAAAAAAAAAAGAAAAAAAAAAAAAGAAAAAAAAAAAGACTAGCAGCCGGGGCGCCTAGGTCCCGTGTGGCCAGCCCGTGCAAGGACCAGGGAAGGTCCCAGCAAAAAACAAAGACCAGGGAAGGTCCCAGCAAAAAACAAAAACCGAAAAAAAACTATGTTATGCAGAAAAATAAACTGAACAACTTTTGCCTCAGGGTCACATCGAAATTCTTCACTAAATTTAGAATAAAAATAAAAAAAATAAATAAAAATCTAGGCCGTTTTCCCCGGGCGCCCAGGCACCCAACTTCTGCCCGGGTACACGCCCGGGTGCCCGGCCGGGCATGACCCCCGGGCAGGGTTCCGGGCAGCCCCAATGACAAAAAAAAAAAAAAAAAAAAACTCGAAAAATTCCGACAAAAAAAAAATGTTGTGTAGGATTGAAATGCAAACCACTTTTGGCTGAGGGTCACATGATGATTCCTGACAGAATCGGAGATAATTCATACCCCCCTCCCCCCCCCTTGACAGCCAACTCGCAAAAAACGAAATGAGCCCGGATTTGGAGTCCTCTGGTAAAGCGCAGAAAGCCAAAAAAAAAAAAAAAAAAAAAAAAAAAAAATTTTTTTTTTTTTTTTTTTTTTTTTTTTTTCCCGCCCTTTTTTTTTTTTTTTTTTTTTCCCCCCCCCCCCCCCCCCCCCCCCCCCCCCCCCCCCCCCCCCTTTCTCCTCAGCTTGCTGATGGGAATGCTCTTCCTGTTTTACTGACTAACTTAGAAGTGTGATGGCCATCTGAAAAACCTGAACATCCAGGTACGCCGGAGGAGGTTGAACTTGTGAAGTCGAGTGTGCAACATGCCAAGGATGCCGTGTCTCTCGACGTGAAGGATGGAAACTCATGGTGTATGTACAGGACTGAGTATTGCTCTCCTTGCTCTCCCTCCCTGTCTCTGCGTACATCCCCGCCTGTTTGCAAGGCAGCCCGGCTTGGCAGTCGTACTTTGACAGAAAAGAAATGGGTGCAACTTCAAGGAGAGAATGCCTTCCCTAGATCTCTGTGCCTATCTCCGTGGAACGGTTTCGCTATCTGCTTGCCTTTCTCTCCTCTGTACACAGACAGACAGAAAACAGATGGGTGCCCAATGCACATGCATGGAAGGATTCCGTCTGTTTACCCACTCAATGTTTCTTTCTTTGTGCCACCCTTTTTTTTCTCTCCTGCGCATGCCCCGTTCCATCCTCTTGCAAATCTATAAATAGACTCCGGGATGTTTGCAACCCTGTTTTAGGATCGCCCCTCCTCTCCTGCATGCCAAGCTCATGCGATCGCTTCATCAAGGATCTCGCCAGGCAACTTCAACATGAAATGAAAAAAAAAAAAAAGAGGAGAAACCAAAATCATGCAAGAAGAGAACCATTTTTCAGGGAGGGACATTTTGGACAATAGAGAGGATACACCCTGGTTACAATTTGGTCCTCCACCAACTGGCCCAGCTCAGTTGGTAGTAACTTGGTACACCCCTGAACTGTTGCAATACAGACCCAAGTTCGAACTCCACTCGAGGCAGATGAGTAAAATACTGCAAATGTGAAGTACCTAGGTTGTTGAAATGATGATACCTGAAGGCTGTTGCCCCTTGAAAGGGAAAAAAAAGAAAAGAAAAGGCTAGGCTGTTTTTCTGTGCGGCCGCGCACCCAACTTATGCCCGGGTACAAGCCCGGGTGCCCGGCCGGGCATGACCCCCGGGCTGGGTTCCAGACAGCCCCAGCAAAAAAACAAAAAAAAAAAAAAAAATTCCGGAAAAAAAAATGTTATGTAGAATTGCAATACAAACGATTTTTTTTTTTTTTTTTTTTTTTTTTGTCGAAACACAAATCCATTCTCAAAATCAAGAAATCGAGGCCGGGGCCCTCACAATTCCACCCGGAGTTATCTCGGCAGCATCAGCCGGTTTAGCTTATATCACGATAATCTGCCAACTTCTCTCTTGTTGAAACATCATCCTACTACTGGAACCCAAATACCTGCTCTCTTACTTACTCCATTATATCTCCCTACCTAGTCTACTACTCCCTACTGAGACCTAAGACAGTCTGAACCCGAGCTATTCCGCCCGGGATGGAACTTAGTTCCTTTACCTAACTGCCACTCTCTCCCGCCACCCCTCCCACCGTGGCCTACTGTGGCCACCAACTTGAACCGAGTGGACCTGGTACCTGAAGCAAAATCTGCATCACGCCCACAAACCCTCACAAGCCTCAAATTCTCCTACCACCTCAACCTCCCCCTTCCCCTTACCCCCGGCCCGGTTTCCTTCACTACCCCTCCCCTCCCACTCTGACAACCCCTCTTACTAAACCTACCTATCTAACCACGGGGAAGTGATCAGTCTCCCTTCTTTCAACTCAGCCAAGGCCCCCGGTCTGGCCCATGTTTCATGAAACCATCTGCATCCTGCCTGTCTGTCCCCTTGGAGCACTCTCTTTCTCCAATCCGCCCTGATTTCTGTCTTCAGCAGAGATTTAAATAGTTTCTCCACTTGCGGTTCCGACAGCTCCTGGCTTTCAAACCTTCGTCCATTCCTGTCCAACCAGATAACCCATATCATTGCCGCTCGACTTACCTGTCCCATGTATCCCCAGCCCTTCTGACCGCTTTCCCCCTGGTCCATGAACCCTTGTAGAACCCAGGCCATTCCTTGTTGCACTTTCTTCCCCGACATCTTCTCCCAATGTCGAAACCACCAGTTCCACCATTTCCTGGAGCGGGGGCAATCCCACCACATGTGTGTCATGGTCTCGACTGGCCAGGCACATCTGTCACACTCCAGTCTCACCTGCACTGTCAACACTACCGGCCTTCAGATCCAATCTTAGATCCAATCTTGGTCTCACCCTCACTTCTTGCAGCCCCCCTAGACCTCGACGTATTGTTAACTGTGTAAGGCTCAATGTGTTCTTTACTGGGTCGTCTGCAACAAACTCCTCCAACTGGCACTTCCCTGAGCCCTCCCCTTCCCATCCTTTCAAAAGGTAGTACTTTCCTTCCTCTTCCCCTGTACTACCCCGATACCATGTTCCTGGCGGGTTTTGGCTGAGGGTCACATTAGAATTCTCCACAGAATCGGAGATAAAAAAAGGAAATAACAGAATCACACTAAGGCACCCCCCTTTAAACCCCTTTAGGCCCTTTAAAACCAATTTATATCCCCCTTCT